CTGTCTGCAAAAAGCATAACTAAATTACTTCATAAAAACTAATTTTGACCTGCTGTCAACGCAGGTTATGAGTTTGCAGGGCCCACATGGTGACAGAAGAATGGCTTAACACTGACAGCTGAAAATACCAAGTGAAACTGTGAAATGTAGTTGTTTGTGTGTTTCTCTACATAAAAAACACACTTTCACATCCGGAAGGGAAATACTGGTTTGCATGAAGCGGCGTATATTGTTATTCAAATACGAGAAATGCACAGATTTAAGATGCAGATAATGATCACCGAAAGGATGTGCAAGGAGGAGTGGTTCACAGCTTGCTCAATACAGCCAAGTCTTATGACAGGATTAGACGGATTTCAGTGGGGAAATTAAGAACGTAAAACACAACCGATGCTTGATGGATACCGAAGACGCTTGATTGACTCCATAATCGTCAGTGAGAGCAACTGACATCCTTCCATCGTATAGAACGTATTTGACAAGGTCGTTATCTGTGTCTCCGTAGAATTTGGGCCCATTTTGAACTGCTTAAATATTAGAAAATTTTTTGAAACTGAAGATACACTCCGTGGGGCGCTGATGGAGACTGGCCCTGTTACAGACGCCCAGAAGAGGAGGCGATGGGTGTGGAGTGTGCCATGTGGTTGTGGGAAGTGTTACATCAGCAAAAGAGACTTTTGGAAATACACGTTAAGGAGCACGGACAACCTGACGAAACACTGGCTGCAGAAATCGAAATTAGGCCAATATTTCCACAAAAGGGACCACCATAGTTGTGAAAGAAGCTAAGGTTTGACAGTTTTAAACCAGCTACACATGTCTCTGTTTCCTCATCCTATTATTCATCGAAGTTTGGACAGCTCTTCCATGTGGACATACGCCATTCAAGCGAAAGTCTGAAAATGATGTTTGTGTCTAATTTGGTCTTGTATTGGAATATTCCAAACCCGCTTTCCATTGGGACGATTTTTTTATTTATTTTACAAGTATTTTATATAGTAATTGTCGATGTTTCATTTGGTGTAAGGTTCCTGTTGGTATTCTGAAAAATTTACCTTCTTGGACTTAATCCTCTGCAGCTGTGGGGTTTACTCATATTGAGTCTTTGTCCTATCGAAGCTTTTGAAGGTCGATAGATCCTATTCAGGACAATTGATTAATGTATGTAGAAAGCATGCTATTACAGTCCAGCAAGAAAACAAGACCTAGAATGAACTGAAAAGAGATGGAAGAAACAGCCTTGGAATGGGACTTCACTCAAGTCGAAGAAAGAAAAAGAGGAAGAAGAGCGTCACATTACAATCTGACTCTGAGAAGAGCTTTAAAGTATAATTATAAAACCATTAAATATAAACCATTGTCTGTGTACAATTTCGACCCGTATGAAGCCATGATATGTTAAATACGCTCGACACAACATAGGTTCACGCTCTCGTCACGTGTGTAATTGTTAGGCATGAAAACGTTTTTTACATATTTATGAATACCAAAGTTTATGATTTATCTGAACATAAAATTTCCCGTTTACAGTTACAATAGTTCATTAGTTACAGCCATCAGACTGAAAGCTAATTGTACGTTTTATCAGTCGTCATGTTGTTGCTTTGCAGTCGATGAAATGTTTATGCTAACATGTTCTACAAACTATTATTATCACGCAGCGTGTCAGAAAAGTTCGCTAGTGCACCTATAATGGCGTCTGTCTCGTTCCCACGTCCATATTGCTGCTACTGACAATAGAAATCGCTCATGTCATGAAGATAGTGCCAAATTTTGTGAAGTTCAATAAATTGGTTCAAAAGTCATTAAGAGGCGACGCGGGTATAAAGATAGCCTCTGTTTCCTTATGTATTGAAGGAAAGCAGGATCTTTTGGAAATCAACTTTAGTTAAGTAGATGAGAATTTTGATAAAAACGGCGGTCGTGGCCTATTTGGGAGTGCTCTCTTCTCATTCGCTTGGATAAACTGAGGAACGCCTCATTCATTGCGGCCGGTGACCTGGACAACTTGACAATGGAATGCCCTTCAGAGTGTTACGGCTGAACCAGCCTCCTCGGCAGGGACTTAATTAGCGTTGACTTGAGTAAGTGATATAGCAGTGAGTAAGATAATTATTAATCTGTGGCCTGGAAGTCGAAAAGCCTTCTGCAAATGACTTTGTCATGATGTCGTTATGTAAAGGGGCGCATGTTGCGACAGACGCCTCACAAGAACAGCCGCTTAACATTTACGACGTCCTGACTTGAGTGCACCAATTACATTCAGAGTCAGCCTAGCATTTTATGCAGCAATTAGTACAGTCGCTGAGGACTGAACATGGTGAGCTAAGGGCAGAAAGGCAGCGCCAATGCTCAAGCGGTTAGTCGCTGACTTCCCACCGCGGCGGCCCGGTTTTGATCCCGGGTCTGGTCAATTGCGATTTGTGGAGGACAAAGTGGCGCTGGGGTAGGTTTTCTCCGAGTACTTCGGTTTCCCCTGCCAATCTTCATTCCACCAATTGCTCCACAATCACCCTCACCTATCATCTGGGGCTGGTACAATAGGCCAGAAGTGGCCGCAGTACAAGGGACTTAGTCCCACCCCACTAGCAATAAAAAGAAAATAAGGGCAGGAAGTGAGATGACTCATCCAACAAATACAGATCCTTTCCTGAGGATTCTGCAGCTCTTAACCGGGCAAGCATTCACTGAGGAGCTTCGAAATGTGTAAATCTCACCTAGCATTTTTAATTCGAGGACAGTAAGAGTGATAGGACTATACACTACGCATAGGAAACACCAAACTCTTGCGAAATTTTGGTCGATATTCCTCACTGGTAGCTGTAATATGTTAGGATTTTATTAAATTTAATTTCAGATAAATATGTGTAATGTGAGTTTCTCACAGCGGTAATTATGAATTGTCTGTCTTCTGGGATATGACGTCATGTAGTCAAGAAAGAAACTAAGATGAAGCAGGTGACAAGCAGAGCTGGTTTCTTGCTTCCCATATTCGTCAGTACTGAATATGGAGGCGACAGTGCCTAGTGATTCGTGAAGGGAGTAAATCATTGGTAGCGCTGTATTGCCTGTACTTAAGAGTGATTGCAAAGGAAGATGATAAATAGAATCATCCGATTTAGAACCCCTTATTTTCGTCACGCTTACCCCCATACACTTGACATTATTATCAATTTCAGTCCATTTTGTTATTTCCAAAGAAATGTCCATCATGAACTTCTACTACGAAAAAGCCCCGCGGTATCAATCCATACGGTGGCTGTGAAGTTCAAGGTTTACTTGGGCTCTAGATAGAGGCATGACCTAGGCACATCCACCGTTAGGAGTATAATTGTAATCCCTACCGACTGGACAGGAAGATTGCTGGATCCGGAATTAGTCTGGAATCAGCGTGAAAGCGAGAATTTCAATATCCGAACAGTGACTTAAATCCCACACGCCCAGTCTGTAGTATCAGTGACAGAATCAACTCAAAATCATTGTGAAGACAGTTAATTTAAAAAATAAATAGATAAATAAATAAATACAAAGAAATTTAAAAAGTATCCACAATTTAATAAACACTTATACAGTAAGAAATTCAGAGGTTGGTGCCATGTGTCGATGTAAGAGGTTCCACACTCAAGCTTTATCGTGTGTTGCAAACACACTTGTTCCTTTCTAGCGATGCGTATTATGAACTTTCAAATAGCACTTCCAAATTATTTCAGTTGCTCGAAGCGCAAACTAATCTGTGTCACATTTTCACATGGGTAACGAACAATTTCCTGGCTACACGCGGCATCCAAACTAAGAATTAGTACAAATATTATGTTTCTGGACATTATCCATCGTCTTGTCTTTATCTAAAATACTGTCCTGTTTATTTTTCAAAACAGCGTTTCGGAGACTGGATTCTGCCTCCGTCTTCAGGTAAAACCTACTCAGGTGGGCTCAATCGATAGAGCAAGTCCCTATCGTCGGACGAAATGATTAGGATTAGATNGGTTTTCACGGCCGTGACTATGAAGAAAGCAGTCTTCTGGGATTTGGCAACGTGTATATGTGGTGTTAACCGACGTTTCGGAGGAACGTATCGCCTCCATCTTCAGGGTAGAAGGAAAAATATAAGAAATCCGCAGGCGAAGAGGCGATACGTTCCTCCGAAACGTCGGTTAACACCACATATACACGTTGCCAAATCCCAGAAGACTGCTTTCTTCATAGTCACGGCCGTGAAAACCTCAAATCTTACAGGATTAGATCTTATTAAATATTTTACTTCTGAGAACAATTTAATATTGTATTTTTGTAACTGAAATATGTACGCTCCTTCTAGACACTCTGTGGAACTAGAATTGAGCATGTATGCATTGCTTGGGGAATTTCGTAGCCGAGTTTCCGATACCGCACTTCAACGTCACTGCTGGACATTCTGAATGTGACCCTGATATGTCAGAGGGACATATTCTCCGTAAGTGTCAGTATTTTATATCAGCCCCAACTTTCCTATAATTCATCCCTTCACAAGTATTAAAGATAAGCAGCGGCACGCACACAGGGAACCTACACAGAATAATACCTTAACAGTGCTGAAAACAAGAAGTAGCAGCTGCAGCACTGTAGACATAGAGCGGGTACCCCGGAGAATTTTAAATTTTAAATTTTGAAAAACTTCAAAGGAAAAAAAAATTAAATTTGAATTGAATAGTTTAAAGGTACCAGATTTCGAAAATCAAATTGACGTGTGTAGATTGACAAAGATTTTGTACATATCTGACAGATATCGGGGGGGGGGGATGCTGATATATGGGACCTGTTAGCAACGGAGAAGTGAACAATTGGGAATTCTAGTGTTTTTTAAATTTTAAACTACGTGCAGTGTAGCAGCTACGTGAGAGTATACACCTGATGATGACCATTTACGGCCGAAACATGTAGTGTAAAAGAAAGGAAGACGAAAGAACTACAATACATTGCTGCACTTAGGACAGAGTTTGTGTCATACATTGTAAGCCTTCACGTGACTAGGAGTTTATTTTCAAATCTTACAGACATTATCGAAATGGCCTTACTTCACTTTCACATTGAGTTTTGATATAACTACGGAATAAAAAAGAAAGTCAAAATGTAATGCCATCCTTACCAGTACAGAAAAGAAAACCTTCTCTTTAGAAATTTCTATTTAATCAGACTCCGAGGGGAAAAAGGAAGTTATATCGGGCGGTAATGCGGTTTTCCCTCCATTACAATAGCCAATTTATTTGATGAAGATAACGATAGGAAATTACTTAAAAAAGAGTGGAAACTGCGATGGACCACAAAAGTAGCTCTTAGTTGAGTCGAGGAAATTGCTTGGTTTGGAGAAATAACTTTCTCTCTCTCTCTCTCTCTTGTCAATAATCTTCAACTCTGGCACCACGCACAGCGGGAGTTCCTGCGTATTAATTCCAGTCCCCCCCCCCCACACACAGCGAGTTGCCTCCTCCTCTACCAAGCTTTCTTCGAGCCAGAACTGGAATTTCTCATCAGTTTCAGGCTTTTAATAACTGCCATAGCAATCCTGCAAGGAGAATACTCATGTCAGTATGTTGTCCTATCATCATCATCATCATCATCAGGACTGCCCGCTCGCCAGAGGCACGTCGATTGTGCGATGCAGCAGTCTAAAATCCACATTTATGATTTATATTGACGAATTTTAGTTCTTGAAGCGATAACAGTGGGCTATCATCCCAGCTACTTCTCTTATTCCAACCTCAGGGTCGCCAAATGAATGAAAGGAACAAGAACCTCTGGGAATAAATAGTCACGTACTTTCTTTTGATACAACATGGACCGCATAAGAGACTACGCCTTCAACAATTCTTCGTTCCCGCGGGAACATCTGTTACATAGTTGTTACCTAGCAACGATACAGGAATACTAACATAGACCCACAATACGCCTTTGATAAGATACGGACCCACAGAAAATGACTCATCCAACAATTTTTCTATTGTTGCTTGTGTTCGTTGCTTGGGGAAAGTTTTGACGGAGCAGTTGCCTAGCACCGAATAGAGGGATACAGTTGCCTAGCAACGATAGGAGGGAGCCACTTACATACACACAGACTGATTGGAGGGATTTATGAAGTAGGCCGTTGGGATGGGCTGAGTTGCCGTGACACACATGCTGAGTTTCATAAAGACTGATTCACGTGTTCGGACGTTGATAAAAGGGGATAACCAGACACACGAGAATACCGTCTCTTGGGATGTGATGCAGTGTCCTCTATTAGAGATTTACCGACGTTTCGAAGGAACGTGTTATCTCCTTCCCAGGATGGAAGTCTAAGTAAAGAGGCAGAGTGAACACGTATTAAAGATAAGCAGCGACACACACAGAGAGAGCCTACACAGAACAATACCTGAACAGCGATAAAACAAGAAGTGGCCGCTGCAGCACTATAGACATAGGGCATGTACCCCGAGAAAATTTAATTTCAAAATTTGGAAAAGAAAAATAACAGAAATCTAATAGACATTTTAACTTGAATTAAAGTTTTAAAAAAGTGCTAAATTTAGAAATCAAATTAACGTGTGTAGGTTAACAAAGATTTTATACAATTAGAAAGACTGGTGATTTTAAATTTTAACAGGCAGTGTAACAGCTACGTAAGAATACACACCTGATGATGGCCATTTAGGGCCGAAACATATAGTGTGGAGGAGGGAAAGAAAAAGAACTACAATTAAATTGTTGCACTTAAGACGGTGTTTGTCCCATATAGACAGAAATAGCTTTATGTAACAAACATTACGACAGGAATTGCAGCACCCCAAACTGCCGTTCCTTTGCAACATACAAACTAAACAGTATCCGGATATTCTGAGATCATTTCTATAGTACCCAGTAATTACATATGCTCTAAAATTCTTGTAATTGGAGAGCTCTTCCTCTTCATGTCTTGCCTGTTTTCACGCTGGTATCTTGCTTGTCCCATTCTTCCACCCTGATAATAGAGGCAAGGTATTCATCAGAAACGTCGGTTTATTTTCAGTGGACTACAAGGCAACACAACTCCGAATTGCTAAGTAATTTTTTTGGGGGGGGGAACGGAAGAATAAATGGTATTACGGATATGAAAGAGTATTATCATAACGGATATTGTGTAAACAGTTTATAATGGTGAGAAATCGGTTGAACTGGCTTAAGTACAGTCAATTTCGAGATGTCATGTCAGCAACTGTAAGTCTCTGAGTTATTATAACGATTGCAATTGCAAGAACGAACGAAGGGTTGCAAGTGACTTACAGGTCCTATATTTATGTAGAAGCTGTTACAGGTAACAGACGCTTAGAAACACAACACATTTATTGAAAGCCTGCCAAAGTGAAAATATTTTGGAACGAGAGTAACAAATTAAAATAGAATTCTCCAAGAAGTAAGGAGCAGGTTAAAACCCGGGAACTTGTGTCATAGTTCAAGTCAGAACTTTCTTTTTTATTTCCGTCTCTTCTCCAGAAAAGTAAAGATTAAAATATACGGAAATATAATTTGAGGGTTTCTGAAAACGTGGAAAAAAGGGTAAAGTTATCCCTGTAACAGGTCGTGGAGGCCCTTAGGGATGTGAGATGTCGAGACTCCCACATTTTCTTTAGACAATAGGCTCACAGATATTGGTGAGGTTGTCAGCCTTACGCTCCGACCGCCCTTTACCCCCAGGAATATTCCTCATGCTCATTTCTGTTAGAGGCTGAGTCGGTCCCAGGGCCACAGTGCTGCTGGAAGGATTAAGTAAATTGAAAAAGATTCACCTCATCGGGATTCGATCCCGCGACCTTTCGGCTTGTAGCATAGTGCCTGAACCAGCTACGCTACTGCGTACTCCCTCTGAAAACGTGGTACTGAGGAAAATGTATGGTCATATCTAAAAATGTAAAGATTCAATTATATAAACGGGCTCGTATGAAGGTGTACGCGAGGCGGGAGGTGTCAGGATTCTAAAAACAAAGATATAATTAGGAGCCCTTCACCAAATATTCTTACAGTGATCAAATCAGGAAGGATGAACTGGGTAACATATGTAACACAGAGGAGATATATGATAAATTAATACAAACTTCTGGACGATAACCTGAAGGGACCAACTGAATTGAATGACACAGACACAGAATGAAGAATAATACTGTCACGCGTTGGGTATGTCACGCGACAAATAACTTCACATGGGTCTCGGATTTAGCGAACCTTTATTGGACACTCGCTCTTACACTCTTACAATTATTATCAGTTGCAGTATCACTTGGCTTCTGTCTCAATACTCAATTCTGTAGCTCTCGGCTTATGTAGTTGTTCTACGGACTGGATGCCAGGCATCATTCCTCACTGTTTCGTTTCTACTGTCCGCTGTTACGTAACGGGTCTTCAGTTGTTCATCTCCGTGGAGATTCGGCGTTCTCTACGCAACGGCTCACTGTTAGAATTACAATACCGCTGTTGTTACTTCCTACGCAACGGTCTGTTCTAGCGTTGCCATGGAAGTAACACTTTTGGGTTCCAAACATGTGACAATATTAAAAGTAGATCGTAAAGGGACGCACAAGAGAGGGCGGGTTAGAGTAATGAACCTGTGGGGGGTTTTGAATAACTTTTATGTTCTGAAGGGGTGTGCTCCACAACGTCTGTTTGTACAGAATGATAAGCTCACTGCTTTTGTTTTTCCCCGGTAGGCTGCAAGTGCTCAGACGCAAGCGTGAGCGCATTGTTCATGCTTGCATAGAAACGCTCATATAAATGGCTATGCTAAGGATGACGACATAATGGATAACTTGCCGCGTTTAGGAAGTACAGCTCGACTGTACTCATGGTATGGGTCGTTAGCTGGGAGGGGAGCCATATTTCATGTTTTTCCATGACAAAGGAAATGATGATGATAATAACATGTTAGGGACACAAGAGAATAGTTCAGCGGTTTGGTAGTAATAGGAGGTAATTCGTAGCAGGGTCGATGCGTCCGTCTTGACGAGGGTGAACGCGACGGTGGACGGGGTTCTGGTTGCGAGAAGCAATAAACAGACTTCGGTCAATTTGCTGTGCTAAATATGGAAATATTGTTGGAGTATTTAAATGCGGAATTTATAATGTTAGACTGACAGCTAGGGAAGAGAATTTGTAAGAGAGTCCCTCTATTTGATTGAACACCAGGCCAAGAAAATGTGTGGCGGAATGGAGGTACACCTCCACGAATTCTGAAACTCGATATTTTATTGAGCTCCGTTAGATATTAGATAGGAGGCAGCGTGAGCACCAGAACCGGTCTGGAAGTTATGGAGAGGGAACAAACTTTGTTCCTTGTCGGATATCGAACCCTGATTTCTCGGGCGTTCATCTCACAGTCTAGTCGCTATGCAGATTAAGCTTTCCCGGCACAGTACGGAAGCAAAGAACAAATAAACAACGAAATGCAGTAAAGTATCGAGTCATATATTGGATGCTTTTACTCACTTCAGAAATTTGCACCATTCCATCTCTTTAAAATATTAAACATTAAGCTGGGGAGGAAGGAACATTCTAATGGGAATGTAAGTTTTGAGGTTTTCACGGCGATGACAACTTTCTTCATTCTAATGGGAAGTTTGCATTTGCTGCTGCGGGAGATGGGCTTCGAAGCAGTCTTCTAGGAACCCAATCCTTGTAGCAGAAGTTGCTGAGGAAGAGGAAGTGAAGGGAATAAAATACAGGAAGGAAAATAAAAATAAGATAAGGCGTGAAGAACAAGCCTTGAATTTATTTTGATGTGTCTACTTGAAGAAGACGTAGTTACATTGGAGTTGAGATAATTACACAATGATAACATTCGTGATTAGTAGACTTGGGAAGTAGGAATGGCTGCTGGAGGTTGCTAACCTGCTTGTAGATCCTCCGCAGAATTTTGTCTAAAGGCGCCGAGGGAAACGGACCGTAGGTCTCCTCTATATTCAGTAGAAATTCGGTGTGCCGACAACGGAGACTTGTCCGGAAGCAGCAGATCGGGCTCCGGCGGATGAAGCTGTGTCCTATTATTGGCAGGAAACTGACCATATCTCTCCCCTGTTGGCAACTGTGCAGTTCTGTAACTTAGCAACCAACTTTCTTACTCAGAGGAAGGATATTAGGCTTATCTCGTGTGTTTAAAGTTGTTACGAATGACTGGTTTTGAACACGGTGTTTATGAACACCTCCACACTGTAGGTCGCTCCACATTTCTGTTTCTAAACAGTCGCATACTACGGAAGCGTCGTCTCAGATGAAGCAAATTAATGTCTTGGAATATTATTTTTAGAGCTATTAATATGTAGAATATGAGCCCGGTAAGCTCAGTCGGTATAGCGAATGGCTACGGGCTGGTCGGAGTTCGAGTCCCGGTAGGGTCAAGAATTTTCAATTCTCCATGTCGTCCAGACCAGCTCTGGGGTCCACTCAACCTCATATACAGTGGGTACAGGGGGCCATTTCCCGGGGTTAAAGCTACCGCGACGTGAAGCTGACCACTCACCTTCAACTAGTGCCGAGGTCAAGAAAATGTGGATCTATACATCCACTCCCCATACGCCTTCATGGCTTAATGCTTAATTAGTTAAGCACAGGACAACTTTATCTTTTATCTTTTTATTAATATAGGGAAATTAGTATACAAAATTATTGTTTTGATGTGATTTAGGTAATGTTCATCATTGTGGACATATTAAATTATTTATTTTCCATACGTTCGCGTTACCAAGGATCAAATATTATTTTGTAACACGTGATGGTTAGTATATCAATATTAAATGGAACGAAAATTATTTCCCTAGTATTCCCTTATGGGAGATTTTCATTTAAGGTTTTGGGTACGGTATGTAACAATACACAGACATGTATGTTGGGGAACATATGCTTCCGAGAACCGTGCATATACTATCATAAGACTAGTATGTATAAAAATATGCACTTTCAGCTCAGATACTAAAGATACGTTGGGGATAAGTTCATTATCTTCAAAAGTACGAATTCTGATATTAAATTTCGGAGCTGTACGTGACTCGACCTCATACTCTGAGCCTAAGATTCTACAGCTTTTTTTTTTTTTCAGCTTATCCATCCTGTCCTTTGACCAACCGAACCTCTGTCCACCTAGTAATGTTGCAAAGCAGATATTGTCAGTGGCAACATTGACCAAGACATCCAGCGAAGGAGTCCTGCAGCATAACGTGAGATACGAACCACGGCGGGTGGGGCACTATGCTACAAGCTGGGAGGTCGCGGGTTCGAGTTTTCAATTTATCTAATCCTTCCAGCCGCACTATGGTCGTGGGGTCGACTCAACCTCTAACAGAAATGAATACAAGGAATCTTCCTGGGGGGGTTAAGGGTGGCCGGCGCGTAAGGCTGACAACATTACCGCCATCTGTGAGCCGATTGTCTAGAGAAAATGTGGGAGCCTCGACGTCTCACAACCCTATGGGCCTTCACTGCCTGTTAGAGGGACAGCTTTCATAGGTTTTACAAACCACGGCGGGTACCTGGTCTTGCTCGCATTCATACGTCGTGACCTTGACATTTGTATAGTGCAGAATAAAACAACATGGAAGAATAAATACTTTTCCCGTTGCTCACAGCTAATAAAGAAACAACAAACTCCGTGGTTTTAGTCCACAATCGACCTACACCGACCGAGTGACCGCCGCTTGTTGGCGAAGGACCGCCCCTGTGGTCTAGTTGTCAGAGTTCCTAACTACAGATCCAGAGGTCCCGGGTTAGATTCGCGGCGCTACCAGATTCTCTGAGAAGTAGTGGGTCTGGAACGGGGTCCACTCAGCCTCGTGAGGATAATTGAGGAGCTGTTTCAAGGAAATAGCGGCTCCGGTCTAGAAAACCGAAATTAACGGCCGTGGGGATCCGTTGCGCTGACCACGAGACACCCTCTATCCGCTTAAATTGGCTCACTGCAAATACACATGTAGATGTGAGTATAGCTTCGGGTAGAGCACACTGGTGAGCCTTAATGAACACGGTGATCGGCCTGCAGGTTCTGGAACGAGACATATTTTCTTGACTGGGCGATTAAGCAACACTTGCTCTAAGAATATTCTGTAATATTAGTTAAAATCACGGTCTTCCGGGATGGGAGTTGTAGTTACCAAAGCGACGAGCTGATCACTCGTCCAAGGAGTCCTACCGTCCGTAAAATGATCATGAAACTGAAAAGTCAGAAGCCAGGGCCCATGGGGACTGTAGAGCCAGTGAATAAGAAGGTAGTTACCCGCGTTACTGAGGAATTGCGGTTTGTACACTATAAGGTGTCATCTCGGAGAGACAGCAACACGAAAGAAGAGGAAAGGTGGCTGCAACATCTGTAGAGAATGCCACCAGAAAGAGCTCCCAAGCAAGTTTTATGTCATCAACCTATAAGAAGACGAGATCCAGGAAGACCAAGAAAGAGATGGCGTGGTATTTTTGATGACGAAACAGGCTAAGAAGCTCAACCCTTGCCGACCATAATGATATGATATTAAAGAGGAAACTGCTGCCTACATCTTCACGACAGAAGCGTCTCTACCTTGAATATAGAGGCAGCAGGTCCGCACCGCTTCACATTTCGGGGGGCAATAATATTAATATTCACCGTCAGGAGAATCTCAGATGTCATACTGAGTTAATTTAGCGTAAACAGGTCTACAGTTGAAGGAACTTACTTACCGCCTCCATCTTCAGGGTCGATCTCTGCTTGTCACATGTTTTAACGCTGGTGTCTTTCTAGGCTTATTTTTCGACCTGAAGATGGAGGCGATATGTTCCTCCGAAAAATTTGTTGACTTTCAACCGACAACATAGTACTCTTCATAATGCTTGTTGCATCTTATTCAGACTTAAATAAGCTCAGAAATAGATACGGATCGGACGGGAAGTGATGAATACAGTTATTCAGAAATTCATGTATTGTGTTGCGATGTGCTGTGTTGCTTATCGGACGACCATGAGATAAGGAAAAAGGAAATAACAGCTATAAACGTTGATACGATCTTCAGCTTTGTATTGCCACGACAGAAGGCTGTGGAGCGTGGTGTTGATATTTGGGTCGTATGGGGCCCTAATCTGACTGCCTGTGTTTCGTGACGGGAATATGGAACGGGAAGTGCTGCAATTACCGTTGATTTCAAGGCCTTCCCTGAGTATCTTTATAAGGCAAATATTTCTTAAACCCCTTGCGGAGTTTAGTTACATTTTGACACATTGTCTTTGAATATATTTCATTCATTACAAGGCGTTAGGATTTCCAATGTTTAGCTGCGAAATTCAATAATCGAATATTCAACAGGATATGTGGTCCGCGCCCTTAAAGTTTTGAACGAATATCCTTTTTTTTTTTCCTTGGCACTACAGCCCCAGTGGGCCTAGGCCTACCTTCATGAACTTCTGCGTTCACTTCGGTTTTTCTAGATCTTACACATTCGATAGGACTCCTTGGGCGGGTGATCAGCTCGTCGAAGGCCTCTACCTTTACACAAACACAGAAAAACGTACACACACACAAACTAAACATCCAGGCCCTGAGTGGGATTCCAACCCACGATCCCGGTTTCCAAGCGAGCGAAGACATTACATGCCTTAGACCGCTCGGCTACCGTAACCGGCAAGAATGTCTTTACCGGCAACTATATCCCAGTCGTTGTTAATGTTGTTCTATATTTATATTATTACACGTATTATTATTATTTTTTGACTTTTCATAAACTAAGTCAGGGGCTCCTAAACTGTGCTCATCGGAGCCGAAGCGGTCCGCATAAATAATCTCAAATTATAAAATTTTACTTTATGAACTCCTTGAACATGGTGTGTTGCACCTCTGTGGTCTAGTGGTCAGTGTTCCTGGCTACAGATCAAGAGATCCTGGGTTTGATTCCCGGCTCTACCAGATTTTCTGAGAAGTAGTGGGTCTGGAACGGGGTCCACTCAGCCTTGTGAGGATAATTGAGGAGCTGTTTCAAGGAAATAGCGGCTCCGGTTTAGAAAACCGAAATTAACGGCAGTGGGGATTCGTTGCACTGACCACGCGACACCCTCTATCCGCTGAAGTTGGCACTCACTTCGCAAACAAGCGGCGGTCCTCGGTCGGTATAGTTCGCTTGCGGACTAAAACCATGAAGGTTTTTTTTTGTGTCTTTAAAATAAATAAGAGGCTGTTATAATTGCGTATCACTTTGAATTTGCACTGTCATCCGCCATTTGTGTGTGCCTCAGATGTTCTATTTACTGCAGGGCATTACGCACATGAATTCATTGTCTCCAAGCGAGAGTTCAGGTTTATTCGAGTGCAGTGGTGCTTTCATGCAGGTATATCAAGGAATGAATAAGGTGTAATTATTATTCGCTCATTTTTAACTGAATTCCTTTATTTAAGGTAGTCACTTGTGGCACCATGTTTGCAGGGTCCCTGGTCACCACGGCACGGCGCATCCTCAGGTTGCGGATGTTATGTGGGTCCCTTGTCAGCACGGCACGGCGCGTCCTCAGGTTGCGGATGTTAGGTGGGTCCCTTGTCACCACGGCACAGCGCGTCCTCAGGTTGCGGATGTTAAGTGGTTCCCTTGTCACCACGGCGTGGAGCGTCCTCAGGTTGCGGATGGAGGAGTCGTCCTCGAGGTTTGGAGGGAAGCTGCGTATGTATGGAATAAACAGTCGCGGACAGCCCACAGGGGTGGTCCTCCAGCTTGGGGGTTGGGCTTGGGGCTGACAACTCACCGTAAAAATAAACTTGTTACGAAAATGAATACAAAGCCTTGGACCTGGACGGATCCTCTGCATAAATGACCTAAGCTAAATAAAATGGACAACTTGTACTCTTCTCCAAGTATAATTGGAATGATCAAGTCAAGGAGCATGAGGTGGCCAGGGCATGTAGCACGAATGGGGTAGATGAGGAATGCATATAGGATATTGGTGGGAAAGCCACAGGGAAAGAGACCACTGGGAAGACCAAGGCGTAGGTGGGTGGACGATATTAAAATGGATGTTAGAGAGATAGGATGGAATGGTATGTGTTATGTCGTGAAGGGGGCGTGGAGGTACCTCCACCGCTTCCGCCACTGTACCTCTCTTAAGCCGCCGTTACACCTCTCTTATGCCGTGGTGACAGAGGGCGTGGAAATATCCCGCTCTGTCACCCTGTTTAGTATGCTGCCACCATCTTGTTATTTTCAAGAAATCTAGTAAACTTATCATAGCTTGCGTCACTGTCCTGGCTTAACTCGTAATTCGCCGGAGCGTTGGGAGGTCCTGGAGTCGTCAAGGAAGAGGGTAACACTTAAGGAATTGCTAGGTTAAAGTAAACTCACACGCATGTCTATCCTATTCTATTTCTCTATGTCACTATATACATCTATATGCACTCTTACCGACGTTCGTCGGTTGTACTACACTGGATAATGAACCTGCAGTCATCATTGGTTCTACCTCCTGTCACCCTACTGGCGGGTATTCTACGCCTCGGTATCTCGAATGAACCTAGTCAATCTAGTTAGCCTATCTTTCCCTGTGGTTTTACACTTTACAATTATCACTGTTACACTTAATGTTCATGGCTATATGAAGTTGGTTTCACTTACTTGAGATGAGGAAATAGATGCTCGCCATCAGCCACCAGCGCACACTCACGGCCATCGCTCTCTCGGCGATAGCCTCCCCTGAACTCTAAGTTACTTAATATCAATCAAAAGTCTAAAGGCAAAAGGTTTTTTGATTAAGTTTTCTAGGGTTTATATAACCTCTCTTTGCTGATTCTTTGAGTTCCGGGTAGGTTGCCTGCCCATTCTGACGTGATTTTGGCCTCCCTCATTGGTTGCCCCTCGAGAAGGGGTTGACTCTTTCGGGTCTACCGCCTCCTCCGACTCAGCGTTTTCCTCCTGCCATAGTGTTTATGACCCACTTCATATAGCTCGTTCCTCAATGTCAGCGCTATTACACTGCCGGGTTAGCATTCTAATGACTCAGGCATTCCGTGTTACAATTCTTTGTAGACCTAAGCTTCCTGAATTGTTTCATCATGGCTGTTTCTTAATCTTACAGTCTAGCTACTATTATTCCAATTTTACCCCAAAACTATATCTACATGTACGTAACCTTAGCGGCATTACAGTATGGATTGGATGGATCTAGCTCAGGATTGACACCAGTGCATGGCTCTTGTGAACACGGTAATGAACCTTCGGGTTCCATAAAATGCTGGGAAATTCTTGAGTAGCTGTAGATTTGGCTTCTCCTCAAGAAGTTCTCAGCTCCATGAGTAAGTAAGTAAGTAAGTAAGTAAGTAAGTAAGTAAGTCATTTGTGACAAAAAACGACTTTTGTATAAAGTTATATATTTTATGACGGATTTTTGGATGAAGGGAGCTACTTTAAGGAAGAAGTGGAGCGTGGCTGCAGCTGGAACGGAAGTGGCAAGCCAGTCACAGACTCCAGCATCATCCCCAGACAAACTGCCACGATGCCGACACAGCTCTGCTCTCGTTCGACAACAATGCCACAGATGCATTAAGAACTGAAAAGCAGAATAGTGTGAATCTTAATGGTTTTGGGGGTTAACTGCCACGAGGGACAACAGTGCCACAGATGCACAGCGTGTCGTTAGCAACGAAGTGTTACCGAATAGTTCCATGTTTCCTGTCAAACTCTGTATTCATCTTGAAATTACTTGCCACGAATGTGCAAATAAGGGCATATGTTTCTCTTCCGGACTTAAGTTTGAAGCAAGTTGGCATTTGGTCTTTGCTTCCGATCTGAGGGTACGGCTTCAAGGATTCGGCGACTTTCTAACTGAAGAACTCACAATAATGAAGAGTGAAAGGGAACATAACTGTTTTTATATTTATTCTAAGATTACTGTTGTGATAATATAGTAAGTACAGTCAAAAGTCGAAGAAAGGAAATTAACGGAAAGAAATTATTGAAACTGTCTTCGGAAACCGGAAAATTAACAATAAATTCCAGTGACAGGTCTGTGCGATTACGTTACAGTACAGTTCGGTGTGTTCGTTAACTTTCGCTTTAAATTTAGCTGACAGAAAGGTGATCCACCATTTAGCTCCTAATAATATATAAATTATTCGTTTGTGGATCCCTCAAGTATTCTCAAGAGCGTAAGTTTTCTGTCATTTAGAAAACACTGTAGCTGCAATCATTGCAGCTACAGCTATCTGTATTCGCACGCAACTCAACTACCCTGAAGATGGAGGCGATATGTTCCTCCGAAACGTCGGTTAAAACCAAGAATACACGGCGCCAGATCCCAGAAGACGACTTTCTTCATAGTCATCGCCGTGAAAACCTCAAAACTTACATAAATATCCTATATTCATTCATCTTCTCTCCATTCGTGCTACATGCCCTGCCCGCCTCATCTTCCTTAACTTGATCGTTCCAATTGTACTTCGAGAAGAGTACATTAATGTTCATTTGTCTTCTCCCTCACATATGCAGCGTGTCTCTCCCATCTATTTCATTGAGAAGAGGAATAAATCACGAAATTTGGCCCAAGAGCTTGGGTGTCGCCCTTCTGAAACACAGCATGAGTCCTGCATTGTTTAATGAATTGCGGAGCCCGCAGCTGTTCTGCGGATGGCGCCTCTAATTGGGTTTTCTCCTCGGTCCGAATGTTTTGGTGTCACATTTACATGCATCTCGCCGGAACCAAGCTTCTCTTTACTAAGAGCGTTTCGGCGTTGCGTTATTCTTAAGTGGTCAGAAAATTCCGGCTAAAGAGCATCTGTATGTTTATATGCTCATTTGTGGCCGTGATGATGGAAGTTTTTTTTTTTCGTAGCAAATATGATTTTCTGAAACAAATTTCTCCTTGTAAGATCTGACGTTTTCACGGCGGTGACTATGAAGAATGCCGTCTTCTGGGATGTGGCGTCGTGCAGATCCTGTGTAAACCGACGTTTCGGAAGAACATATCACCTCCATTTCCAGGGTAGAGAAATCCGCAATTCTTTTACCATGAAGATGGAAGTAATACGTTCCTCCGCAACATCGGTTCATACAAGATCTACACGGCACCACATCCCAGAAGACGGCATTCTTAAAATTTATCTTCTTCGCCAACGCTTTTATGAGTAAAATAGGGAAATAATGAAATTATTAATATTTAGTACAGGGTTTAAAAAAATGCATTGAAAAATGTCGTAATAACAGTGAGTTAGAGACGATAATTTAGAAGCAAAAATACTTACAGCAGCAAGTTCATTTCGGCAAATGAACTGGGGCTAAAAAATATCCCGTATACATTTCATGGAATTGTGGGTGGGCTCGCGGACAGATCTGGATGTAGCGGCGCAGAAAGTTAAATCCCTGCCATGACACGGATTGACAAGTCTTTCAGTTTATCAGACAACGCTCTCAGGGGAAATGGATTTTCCTCCGCCTCAGCCCTCTCTGCTGTGGAATGGTCCGCACATTTGTTCCGTAATAAGGAAAATTCCAGTCCCTTGATTGGGTAGGTTCCATGTTGGGCTGCTCCTGGGATTTCTGAAGTGCTTGTAGCCAGCTATAGGACTAACTAGAACTACAACCTAACCAACCATCTAATTACCTGACTCAGTGGCTTCTTAAGCAGTTGAACTAATTTTATCTTTATTAGAGACGTCTTCAGACATTTCAACTCTAATTAGTAGTAACAAGTTAAATATGAGAATATAAAAATTGCATTTACGTGTTTCCGCCGCTACCGACCATCATCAGAAGACGTAGCGAAAAATATGAGGAAATACTTTATATGCCCCTATATTTTCGAACATAAGTTGTCATAAACTTGTTACACTTGATGGACTTTACTAGTTATTCATGAACAAATTACATTACTAATGAAGAAAATTAATAATTACATAAAAGTCGGTCACTCAATCATTGAGAAAAAGATAAAAAAATGTAAAGCTATCCCTGTAACACATCGTGAAGGCCCATAGGGTTGTGAGACGTCGAGGCTCGCACTTTTATTACACACTCGGCTCACAGATGGCGGTGAGGTTGTTATCCTTACGCGCCGGCCGCCCCTAACCCCCAGAAAATTTCCTGGTACTCATTTCTGTTGGAGGCTGGGTCGACCCCCGGGTCATAATGCGGCTGGAAGGGTTAGGTCAATTGAAAAAATCCACCTCATCGGGACTCAAATCCACGACCTTCCGGCTTGTAGCGTAGTGCCTCAATCAACTACGCTACCGCGTGCCTTCTCACTCATTGAGAACCTACAAAAATGCCTGACTGAATAATTGCCTTTCTGACTTAGCGAGTGATTGGCTACTTAACCAACCAACTTAACTAAATTAAGAATTAACTGACTAACTAGTCAGCTAGCTATTAACATAACTGACTGATTAGTTATTTAATCAATTAGGAGAGATAATCGCTTCGTAAAAATTCGAAACCAGATCCGAAGCTTAAAACACGCGACATGTAAGCCGACAGACAGACAGACAGACAACAAGGCATATGGCTAAGTGTCTAGACATGCCTCAGCAAAGTGCAGAGTTGCGTCGATATTTTGACTGTCCTATGAAGTCTGGAAGTTGCACGTAATTTTCCCACGTTGCCATGTAATGGCCCACTATTTCAGCTCTACCACTAGTCCATGAAATCTAACGACCCGAGATGAGTAAAAATAATGCATATAATTGAATTTATAATGCGTTTCATGCATAGGCCTACAACGTTTAAAATAAATTAAGCCATCTTCAGTGTAGTATTATAGTCCTCAAGCGATAATATCCTGGTGATAATAGCTTATACTCATATGAGGAGCGTGAGTTGCAGGTTGCTGGTTGCATGTGATAGGAACATAGGATAACTTTATATTCTCTGTGCTCTAACAGACTTCCTACATGCATGCATACATACATACACTCACACGGCAATGCTCTGCACACTCACATTTTAAAAAGCTCAAACCCAACATCATTATTGGATTCGTTTAATTTTGGTACTACTTGTCAGTTATAGCCCCTACATTTTATGAACTCCAAACTGAACTTACCAGATGTCTCAGAAATTCATTAAGCCCTAAACTACAAAACTTTGTTGGGGTACGTGGCATAAATATAGATCTCATTACGATCTACAAGTCTTAGTTGATATGTTATTTTTATTCTGTTAATATTTAACGAAATATAAAGCTATTTTTCTCGGACTACCATTTGCATTACATGGCGCAATTAAATTTGAAGTAATATAGATATATCTCATACATTTTCAACAAAACTTATTCGTTAGGAAATAGAGAAGAGAACCTGTTTTTAAAATATTGCGAGAGATTTTATCAACTCGTTGCCAGGCAACAGCTCTATAAACAAGGTCCAACACGCAACAATAGATGAGGCTGTGTTTTCTATGTTGTCTGTACCGAACAGCGGTTGAACAACGAGGTTATGCAACCCGTTTCTAAGCTACGGCTCGGTAAACACACTTCCTCGTAAGCAATGACGTCAGCAATAACAGACGGTGTTTTCTGTGGGGTCTGTGCAGAGGGGTTTTAAGAGAAGTGAATTCAGTGACAGAGTTAGTTCAAGGGCAGTTACTAGTCAGTTGTAAGCTGGAGGAGTGAGTCCAGAAGAATTTTTAGTTCCAAGGTTCCAGAGAGATTGAAGACGAAATAGCAAGAAGACTTAACATATGATTTGAAGTGCTTGTTTCTGTGTTGAGATCCGTTGCCAGTGAAGGCGGACAATCTTAGTGCGTGTGCAACGGTGAACTGGAGAGTGTTGAAAAGAGCGACACTGCTGTATTTAAGTATGATTAAGAGAACTTGTAAGCGAAGTGCCAATAAATCCAATCATCCGAACTAGAACCCGTTATTTTCGTCACGCGTACCACCCTACAAATGACGATAT